AACCCGGCGCTGCATACACACATGCACACACACACACATCACTAAAAACATGTACAAATACACGTGGATAGGTAGTGAAAAGCAAAGTCACAGCACTTCAAAATACAATGAAATATTTTCAACTTTGAATTGTATTCAGAGGGTTGCTCAGTTTAGACACATTTACAGCTGTTCTGAAATACATATCTTTCCAATCAAGGTTCTCAGTATTACAAACAAACAAAAGCAGAGTGTAAATATGTGATGCTGTTATATCTTGACTCCATTGATTTTCTGTGGATACACTGTAAGGTGTTTCTACATGGAAATAAGTTCTCTATCTTCTGACCACTAGGTGGAGCCAGGTGGACTGAGAACAGGGTTCCTTCCATAGACGGTATGGTTCCTTGTAGAGAGAGAAAATGATATCTAAATCACTCAAACACTGTACTTAAATAAGATTTTGAGGTAGCCTACTTGCACTTAAGGTACTGTAGTTTTTTCTATTTCTCCTCAGTGGCAGTACTAAACCAACTGGAACGTGGGAACCACATGCAGGGGACACATACAATGGTTTTAGGTGAACACAACTATTTCACTCCCCCATAAACCTCGACAAACTACTTCCAAGACGTTATCGCTATTAAACAGAACGTTGAGCTTAAAAAAAAAGATCAAGTACACACCTGCTGCAACCGAAAAAGTGTGATTTTAGTGGTAGCCGACTGAATAACTATAGAGTTTTCATATAATTATGGATTAATGTATAGCAAAGAAATACAATTTTAGGTTTCTGCTGTGGTTGACCAAGCCTTACACTTTAATGTAGGTACCCGTAAGGGTAACGTGTGCACGTGACGCGGTCTGGCAGGTTTTGGTATAGGAAGTGAGGGTTAAAGAGGACCTTCGACCGGCAGGTGCCGCAGTCACAGAGACGCTGCTAGTAGTCAGCAGAGAGTGTCCACATAAGCTCCGGTTACAGAGTAACGACTGTAAACTGTAGCCTACTGTCCAAAGCTATAGTTGCCAGCTACGAGTCGGGCTAAAAGCTAATTGAGTTTGCTTTAAGAAAACCAGAGGTCTCCCAACAACGGTTCAGGGCCCTGGAGCTGGAAATGTAACACTGCTGTTATTTAACCATCATTCTACAGTTTAAGATCAGTGTCTAATGTAATAGTTTTTAAATGTGTTTTAAATGCACTCGGGAGGCCGCTATGTGGCCCCACACTGTTAATGTGAAGAGCCCCCAGAATGGGAAATGCCCACAGCCTTTGTCAATGGGAGCAGATGGCACAGCTGTGATGCTACGGGCTGGTTGTCTGTATGTTGCCAAGTAACCTGTCATCAGTTTCAGCACATTAGGGATGTTCCTAATTAATTCCCCCTGCATTTAAAAGTTTCTAGTTTAAACTTACACTAGCCGAGCAGTCTAAAAGTAAGAAAACAATCAGAGAACAGTCAACATTTAGCACAATGGAATCTATCAGGTTAAACATTGTGTATAAGAGCCATTTGAAATCATTGATCACGTTTTTTTAATAACCACATAGTATTTTAAATAAAGCTGGAGTGTAGCCTCTGGTTGCCTGGTGTGTGGTGTTACATTTTGGCGCTCAGCCCTCGTTCCTAATGTTAATTGTCTCAGTCCAAAAGTAACAATTGATTGAACAAAGACAAATGTAATAATTTCCAAAATTCACAACAGCTTTTTATCTTCAATCCATATTTGTTGGCGTTTAGCCTTTCAAAAACGACTTTTTCACTGCGGTCTAGAAACTGTTTACTCTCCCACACGCACCTGTATTAATGGGGTGGTCTAGCATTACATTTAGCCTAACCACAATAACACAAAATTGTATTTTTCCCATTTATTTTAGGCTTATAACACAATGCAAAACGATGACAGAATAGAAGCTTCGAATATATATATACAAAAACATTTTCCGCTCATTGAGAAAGAGGAGGCGGGGGCAGATGGGGGGTCGGTAGAACTCAGCGGGGTGGACGTGAGTCATGAGTGGCTGCTGAATTCAGATCAGAGCAGAGAGACACCGTTGCAGCAGGAGGAGTGGCGGCTCTGCACAGCAACAGCTGAGACAGCATTCGTCAACATACAATTTAAATGTGTACGTTAACAGGGGCGTTTCTAGGATTCAAAGAAAGGGGGGGGCTTAGCCCCAAGGGGAGTGGCATGTTTGCGCGCACAGCGCGCTGCAATTTTTTTTGGGGCCCATATGGCGCAGCGGATATCCATTGTTTCAGACAGTTCATAGATTGGTTCAATGAGAAAGTGTGATTATTTTAGGGGGGCCTAAAATAGGCCTAACGACGCCCCTGTACGTTAATACAATTCTAATACCTTGAACCCAACAGTATTTCTGGTGCCGACCAGCAAGGGTAGCAACTTTTGATCGACTACATCATGCACACCCCTACAGCACATACAAACTGGAAATAGAGAAGTAAAACAGCACATTGAGGAGAACAGCAGGATGCTCAGTCAAATGATCACATGCTCAACTGTGTGAAATTACGCAACTTTCTGGCTTTGCGTCTGTGAAAAATAGTTGTTGCCCAATCTTACACCTAAATACTCACCACATTCCACCACACCTCTCTTTCTCCCTCTAAACGACCGAAACATTCAAAGTCCAACCCCGAAATGTTACATCAACATGAAGCTTGTCATTTCTTCTATCAGGGTCAGCAACCCTCAACACAACGTGATGTATGGCTTTAGAAATATGAACCAAAAACTACAGATAAATGCATACACTGCCTCTGAGGGGAACCATGTGTTGAGTAATTGAGCTGCCATATCTCTTGACCTTTTTGTTCTCTAGGAAACGGCTGGAGAGATAAACTTAACACGTCCCTTTATCAAATTATCTTCTGCCAGACTTTGAGAAAAATTGGTAATCTTTAACGGCGATAACACAGACATGAGGTCGACCCTGGACGGAGGACTACGATGTGTTGGCCCTTGTGGAGTGCAGGGAGAGAGACTTTTTATTTTATAATAAAGTGTTTGTGATACACTTGTTTTTCAGTGTCACACATCTCCAATAAACAAACATATTGCCTCTATTTTATAAGGGCAGAAAACACTGGGTCATTCAAAAGTTGTACACAATGTGTCTTAGCAATACAGTAACTCCTAGTATCTCTATTAAACACAATCAACCTGCTTCTTTGTTTAATGTCCACTAGATGTCGCTCTAATCCAAAGAATGAAATGTCTCCAGTAGGAAATGCTGGCACATTAATGTTTGTGCTCTATAACAATATTTAGTGTCTGGAAAGCAAGTTTACGAGCTTTCAGCTGCAAAAGTTGGACATGTTTGTTTGTATTTACAGAGTTTATGTAAACCACCATTAATCTGGGATATGAACCGAATATCTATACATGTTTTTAATGCTTTTTGCTTCATCAGAATCTATATCCACATTTCTGCTGTTGCATAATATTTTTGTCATTTTTGAATGAAAGTTTGCTTTACTTTCCTATCAGATTGGCTAAATATCTGCAAGATGTGTTCTATAATCCCGTTGTACAACTGTATCAACAGAAACAGTATTGCAACACCATTCTGATTGTTTATCTTCGTTCTGTATCGTGTCTCCAGGCTGCAGCTGTACCACACAAAACTGTTTTATAGCTGAGGATTTTTATGCATCAAACTAAATTCAACATCTGAGTTAACGAAGCAGTCATATGAGAGATAACATCAGTGGCAGAAATGCTGATGTGTGGACTGAAATATGAAATGGCTAACACTGCACTTCAAGACTAGATCACAGAGCTCCACGGTGGAAAGCTGAAACCAATATTGGGTTAAGACTTATGTGGATTTCAGGCGAAGTTGTTTCAGGTTTTTGGTACATTTTGTGTACTGACCTTTGCCTGTTACTGCAGAAGTACATATAAAGACCCAAGACACACTTAATCTAATTCACCTCAAGGTGTATTTAGTGGTTGTACCGAAGCTTTTGAGCACACTGTCAGATTGAGTTTGACCACTTTTTTAAATTATAATTTGTTTCTTAGCACAACTTTTATGTCACACAAATGAGAATTCCTGGAACATCATGGTGCTTTATGTGAACATGATGAAGAGAGAGTTGTTTAGGTTGCCACAATAACTTATTCTTCATAACAACAGCTTGTCTGCTTCTAGTGGATTATTAATAATACCATGTGAACAGAGTCGGACCACACTGTATCTGTTTCTGCAGCCGTAAGGAACATGCTACATGGCCGTGACCTTTTTTATTATTGTACTGTGCCGCAGAAAGACATAAACATCCTCTTACAGACATAAAGATCCTGACTTGACCTGTCATAGATGCATTAGGGCAAGCAATAAAGACATTCGGCATCCATTATGGTTACAAATAGCTTCCCATATCTTTACCACATGTCATGAAAAATGACTAAAAAAGTAAAGCAATTGTTTTACGTAACCCAGTCTAATATGTGTATTATGAAGGCTTAACATGAGTCTTATAATGCACTCTGCATCATATGAGTGATTTTCATTAAAAAAAAACACTACATATCTGTTAAACACACAGCACAATATTTCCCACTGAAACGTAGTGCAGAATGAAGTAGCAGAAGCAGGAAGTAGGTCTAATCAAGCAAAGCAAACTCAAAGCTCAAGTACCTAAAAAGATGTACTTTATCTCGTTTGTGGACCCGTACAAAAACTGGTGTGTAAAGATGACACATAAGTGATCTTTAGAGGCGTGGCAGGTTTTATTACATTTCGACAGAGCCAGACTAGACGTTTCCCAGCAATCGTCTCATCTAACTCTTGTAAATACATTGTTTTTAGTAGTCCTACAGTATACGTGGGGGCCTATTTGTCACTTTCTCTGCATGTGGGTTTACAAGTGGGATGTTGAGGCTTACGTCTCGCCCTTGAATGCATCATTGTGTTTTGTCAGAGCGTTCCAGTGAACAGTTAATGTCTCTGTTGGCCGTCCTCTTCCTTCTCCTCCCACACAGCCAAACCAATACAAACATTTCCGTACAGCACGGACACTCTCAAACTATCCGTCCTGTGTTAGGGCACCTACAGGGACACTAGCAACTGAGAAAAAGAGAGAGAGAGATGGCACAAACCGACAGCCAAAGTTCAACTTTCCCCGAGATTGTGGAGCTAAACGTGGGTGGGCAGGTGTATGTGACCCGACTCGAAACTCTCACGGCGGCACCCAACTCGCTCCTGTGGACCAAGTTCACCCAGAGCTCCCCGGGCGACCTGCCGAAAGACGGAAAGGGCCGCTTCTTCTTCGACCGGGACGGCTTTCTGTTCCGCTACATTTTGGATTATTTGCGGGACTCCGAGCTCTTCCTGCCCGAGTATTTCAAAGAGAGGAGGAGGCTGCAGAAAGAAGCGGACTTCTTCCGACTGCCGGAGCTGTCGAGGCGCCTGTCGACGGTCAGCAAAGACGGCTCGTACACGGAGGACAGCGGGGAGCCGGAGGACGCCGAGCTCACCAGCCCGGTCACCTCCTCCTCCTCCTCGGACAGGACCCTGCGCTCTCCCGGGGCCAACGCCGGCTACATCACCATCGGGTACAGAGGCAGTTACACCATCGGGAGGGACATCCAGGCGGACGCGAAATTCCGCAGGGTCGCCAGAATCACCGTGTGCAGCAAAATCTCTCTGGCCAAAGAGGTCTTCGGGGAAACCTTGAACGAGAGCCGCGACCCGGACCGCCCGCCCGACAAATACACCGCCCGGTATTACCTGAAGTATAACTTTCTGGAGCAGGCGTTTGACCGGCTGGCCGAGGCTGGTTTCCACATGGTGGCCTGCAACTCCACCGGGACCTGCTCATACGGTAGCAATGACCCGGGGGAGGACAAACTGTGGACCAGTTACACCGAGTATGTTTTCTCCCGATGAACGAGCTGAAAACTGCTCTCTGGGTGCAAGAGTGCATTCATGCATACGACGTATTAACCACCACTTGGAGCGCGCCTCTGCTCCATTAGTGCTTACATTTGATGAACTCTCTAAACGGGCAGTTCAGCCGTGTCTAGTTTCAGTGTCTTGTGTTTGTCGTCACTCTCACGCTCTGTGCAGTGGGATCAGCCAGAGTTGACATTTTTTCTGCCATTTTCTCCTCAGTCCTCCAAAGCGGAAGACTTCCTCCTAACCCAAACATGAATGTCATTGGTTAGTAAGGTTTGAAGACGCATGGCTTCTTTTTATGTCACTGAGTCCTTAGCTCTGTTATTTGTGTGGCCTTGTGATTCTTTATAGCTTTTACAGAGACTGCTTTGTTCTTGATTAAATGAGTGGTTACTCTCAGAAATGTTAGGCTCTGGTTTTCTTTTGATCCTTACCGAGCTGTGCTTGCATCACGTTATTGTGGAGAGGCTACTGGTGATCCGAACACTAACTATAGGACACTGTAAATACTGTTCAAATAGCCTCTTAAGTCTTTAATTTTGGGGATTGATTGATAAGTAAGACATTAAGCTTCTTCGGTATGATCATTTTATATTTTTAAATTGACTTTTTTGTTGCTTAATTTGATTATATCAACTACGGTATCACTGCTTTCAAGATTACACATTGGGACGTCACAATGTTTCATTGTTATGTGCCATTTATGAGCTTATGTCATTGTTTGCTCTTTAGATATGAAGCCACAGCAAATGAAGTGAGACATTGTAACATTATACACCCCATCGTCCCTGAGTTCACTGTGAAAATATATTAAAGTTGTATGTGTTAATACGCTGATGCTTCTTTTCTTGCAAGTAAGCACAAACATTTTATTTTTTCTCAGGTCGCCTAGTGTTCTTTGTGATTCCTCTGGAGGCATTTTAGAAGTCCACAAGACCATCTTATGGGCTCTTTCATAGAAAAGTTTATGTATGACCTCACATATGGATCAGAGTATCAGAGATCAATATCCACCCCCCTAGTGAATGAGAGATGACCTCAATAGACTTTCACCAAATAGGGTTTGACCAGAAGTTGACCTGAATTAAGTCACATCTCGTTTTTTTATGCATTAAATGTGACATTTATCACATTCAAATGTCACTGAATCATGAAGAGAGAAATGGTGTTATATACAGTTGTGTGAAAAAGTGTTTTCCCCCTTCCTGATTTCTTATTTTTTTGCATGTTTGTCACACTTAAATGTTTCAGATCATGAAACAAATTTAAATATTAGACAAAGATAACACAAGTAAACACAAAATGCAGTTTTTAAATGAAGGTTTTTATTATTAAGGGGGAAAAAAATCCAAACCTACATGGCCCTGTGTGAAAAAGTGATTGCCCCCTAAACCTAATAACTGGTTGGGCCACCCTTAGCAGCAACAACTGCAATCAAGCGTTTGCTGTAACTGGCAATGAGTCTTTTACAGCGCTGTAGAGGAATTTTGGCCAACTCATCTTTGCAGAATTGTTGTAATTCAGCCACATTGGAGGGTTTTCGAGCATGAACCGCCTTTTTAAGGTCATGCCACAGCATCTCAATCGGATTCAGGTCGGGACTTTGACTAGGCCACTCTAAAGTCTTCATTTTGTTTTTCTTAAGCCATTCAGAGGTGGACTTGCTGGTGTGTTTTGGATCATTGTCCTGCTGCAGAACCCAAGTGCGCTTCAGCTTGAGGTCACGAACAGATGGCCGGACATTCTCTTTCAGGATTTTTTGGTAGACAGCAGAATTCATGGTTCCATTTACCACAGCAAGTCTTCCAGGTCCTGAAGCAGCAAAACAGCCCCAGACCATCACACTACCACCACCATATTTTACTGTTGATATGATGTTCCTTTTCTGAAATGCCGTGTTACTTTTACGCCAGATGTAATGGGACATACACCTTCCAAAAAGTTCAACTTTTGTCTCGTCAGTCCACAGAGTATTTTCCCAAAAGTCTTGGGGATCATCAAGATGTTTTCTGGCAAAACTGAGACGAGCCTTTATGTTCTTTTTGCTCAGCAGTGGTTTTCGTCTTGGAACTCTGCCATGCAGGCCATTTTTGCCCAGTCTCTTTCTTATGGTGGTGTCATGAACACTGACCTTTATTGAGGCAAGTGAGGCCTGCAGTTCTTTGGATGTTGTTCTGGGGTCTTTTGTGACCTCTTGGATGAGTCGTCGCTGCGCTCTTGGTGTAATTTTGGTCGGCCGGCCACTCCTGGGAAGGTTCACCACTGTTCCATGTTTTCGCAATTTGTGGATAATGGCTCTCACTGTGGTTCGCTGGAGTCCCAAAGCTTTAGAAATGGCTTTGTAACCTTTTCCAGGCTGATAGATCTCAATTACTTTGTTTCTCATTTGTTCCTGAATTTCTTTGGATCGCAGCATGATGTCTAGCTTTTGAGGATCTTTTGGTCTACCTCACTTTGTCAGGCAGGTCCTATTTAAGTGATTTCTTGATTGAGAACAGGTGTGGCAGTAATCAGGCCTGGGTGTGGCTAGAGAAATTGAACTCAGCTTTCCAAAGATGTGATAAACCACAGTTAATGTATGTTTTAACAGGGGGGGGCAATCACTTTTTCACACAGGGCCATGCAGGTTTGGATTTTTTTCCCCTTAATAATAAAAACCATTTAAAAACTGCATTTTGTGTTTACTTGTGTTATCTTTGTCTAATATTTAAATTTGTTTGATGATCTGAAACATTTAAGTGTGACAAACATGCAAAAAAATAAGAAATCAGGAAGGGGGCAAACACTTTTTCACACAACTGTATACATTGTGTTTGAGTTGAAGTGCAGCATGAACCTATACTCAACAATTACATATTTCTCACACACAACTGTGCTGATGTCAAGTCATGTGTGTCTTTATTAAAGGCTAACATCAGTCATAGCACTAAAAAACACGAATGGTTGTCTTAATTCAAAACTGCGAATTTGCTGAATTCTGCATATTATAATTTAAATCAAATTTAGAAAGAGTAACGCTTTTTATTATCATTTCTCCTCATAGAGTTTTATCATATTCATGTAAATCACTCTGAATTTCATACATGTTCCCAATAGTTTCAACTAAAGTACCTCTCCTTTTGCTTCAGTACTATATTTTATGTCCAGTTCAAGCTCAAATTAAGATAAATGCCAACAAATTATAGCCAAAAGCAGAACTTGGTAGCCGGTCTGGCAGAGCATAGAAGAGTGTCCTTTTCTGCAGCACAGAAGAGCTTTGTTATCTCCCGTGGGCAGGATGGGAAGGAGGAGGAGGAGGAGGGATTTCTCTTGGCTGAAAAGTACAGTAATCAAATGTCTGTTCCCTTGTGGGATACTGGGTCACAAATCCAAACTATCCCAGGAGTTTAATCAAATAAAGGCTTTGTGTGGGCTGTGTCTGAGTTGAACAAATTTCAACAAAAAAAAACGATTAATTTATTTGTCAGATGTCCAGAAGCACTGTAGCTGTAAAATACATTGTGATTGATTTATGCAAACAAAATCATAAGAAGATATACGCACAAAGAAAGATGCACAGACATGCAACACCCTTCCAACAGCCCAACCTCCCACACACACACTTCTGCCACCAATTAGCTTCTCAAGAGCTTCAAAGATAGACATGTCTGCAAAAGAGACCTGGTATCTGCTGTCAGCTGATGCTGCCATCTGGACAGGAAAGGGGAAGGATAGACCGAGACTCTTCCACTAGTGCAATCTCCAGAAACAGAACGTCGTGCTCCGCTCTCCTCAGCCAAAACACAGCAACGGCGAAATCTGACACATTTGTCCTCATTGTGTGTCTCACATTTCTCCTATTATTACAATAATGGGGGAATGCCTCAAGGTGCTCTAAGAGGCATGGATGAACTCCAATATTATATCTTCTGTATTAGACTGAGACCAAATGTTAGTCAAAAGATGCATACATTTCCCTCTGAGATGAGAATGAGTTCCTCTGACAAGGGGCTATTTCTAATACAGTGTTCTGTGTCCTTGATAGAAACACCTCCAAAACACATTTCACTCGGTGTATGCTTTTTTTTCTGCAAGAAAACTGAGCCAAACGATGAAAACATGTACACACACACACACACACACACCTACACACACTCTCACACACATAATTGACCACGCTGAGCGCGGGAGGGAGACAGATAAAGAGAGCCAAATTAGCCAATTTGCAGAGTTGGAGATAACAGCTTTTCTTCATATCAGCCTATGTGCTAAATCTTTCACATTTGCTCACATGTTCTGCCTCTAGCTCACTGCGACCTGCATTTCTTTAATAATGTGTGCGTGTTTGTGTTTTCCAACTCTTTGATATAGACACATCACACTGTTCACAGAGAACAACACATGCATAATTATTTAATAAGATGTATTTCTCTTTGTTAAGGTGTGAGAGCAGAAAACAAAAAGAGATGGCATGTCTAGCTAAACTTATGAACATCCTCCCTTTTTTCCCTTGTTTTCTGAAATGTCCCATTTACTGTAATGCTCCTTCACAGCTATTCATGACAGCAGTGGCTGTTGCATTACATTTGCATTCATAAACACTGTGTACTGTAAGATTTTGCGAGTATAGATTAATAGATTAACAATATCAAAAGGACTGAAAGCCTCATAAAAACATGTGAGCGAACAACGATATCTTTTTTTTGAAAATGGTGAGACTGTCTCTGATAATCATCTTATAAACGTTAGTACCATAGCCAATGAGAAGCTTACACTGTAATAGAGAGAACCAGCAAGCCAACTGCTTAATATTTCCCAATCTTTAAGTTACCTTAAATATACTTAAACAGCAATAAGTCTTTTTTTTATTATTTCACTCAACATGAAAATATCCAAAGCTGTCTTCATTTGCAGACTGGATATATTTCATTCCAGCCCAGTATAGCAGGTTTTGAAATAGTGACGAAATGTCTGTTTTTTTGGTGTTGTTTTTTTTGCTCGTTGTCACTGCTGAAGTTAGAGTGCAGTTCTTGACGGAGTAGCAGGGGGGGGGGGGGCAGGGCTTAGAGAAAGGTAAATTGACAAAACAACCTGAGCTCAAGGTCCACTTACTCGCTTGTTCTGGAGCTTTTTCATGGCTCCTTATTAAAGCAAACACTTTGCTGTTTCAATAAACTCTGAGGAAATCTGCAGCCATTGACAGCTAATGAAAAGTACACATATTGTAACGGATCACAGGCTTACATTACTGCCGACTCAGACTGTTAGTGTGTGTTATCAACCTGAACATACAATTAGCCCAGTGAAGTGTTAAAAAGCAGTGAAACCATTAAGTGTTCAAACATTCCTTGAATCATTAACAGTTCTCAAAATTGCGTTTAACTTAAAACATGTTGTGTGCAATTATAAGTCACCATAGTGGATATGATGTATTAGATACTTTCACAAGAAGACAAACTTCTACTTTCACAAATCCTCTGCTGCAGCGGAAGTCTGGCAGAGCCACTAAAACGCTGTATAAAGCCACAATCCATCATTTGAAAGCCAGGCTATGCTTTGACACTCTAATCCATAGCAATTTGATGCAGATATCTTTCATTCTGTAGAATAGTTCAAGTTTATAATCTGACAGTTTTGTTATTGTTTTTAAGGGATTGCAGCTTTATATTGCCTCATTTCCTTTTCAGTTAAAAGAAGTGACACATTGTCAGGTCAGTACATTCTATGGTTAATGTTTAATTATTTTGTGTGTGGAGGTTTGTGTTCAAGTACAGCATGAAGTCAAACCCTGGCTGCGCCGGAAAAAAGGTAAGAATCAGGAAACGAAAGCAATAATAAACTCAAATCAGAAC